GGTCGCTAGCTGAGAGCTACCTTGGTCGCGCGACCATGTTAGCTACATCGCAACAAGACACACACGCAAAATGCAAGCTCGCACACTGCTACGCGGTGGTTACACGTGTATGCACATGCAAGGGACCATGATGAACGGGTGAAACGTTATTTCATGCAACTGTATCCGTGTACACGAGTACAACGCTGCTGGGGTTCGATCGAGTTCTTATAAACCCTTGTTAGTATATTTGGGATCGCACGTGTTACCACTGGTTGATCGTATAATTGGATTATACCCTCGCTGAATAAATGATTCATGCGCAAACGCTCTTGTCAAATATTATGACCAGTGTCGGGTCTTCGACGCATTGATTGCGGCATTAAACGTGTCAACATGTTGACCATAAGTGTCACACGACTTTCAAATAGAATCTTTTACGCCAACATTTTACGACTTTTTATTTAGAAGATAACGTATGTGCATTTAGGAAGAACCTAAATGTATGTGCGAATCTTTTATACATATAGCTACTTGTAGATTTGATATTGGTATTAACGCAATAGAGGACTTGACGGAATAATCTTTCTTTTCTGCGATGTTGTTTTAACGAGCAGCTCGTGCGAGTCATCGTTAACGGAACTCCAACGAATAGGAAATACGACAACAATTACGACGAGCTATAGATTCGCTCGTGCGATTCTGTCACCAATCTTTGTACGATGAACACCGAAGACTGAAACAATACTCCAACAATAGGCTATAAAGCAAGTTCATGTAACGTTGCCTTGGACTCCGATACGAGATACGCTCTTTGTATCCCGCTGCCTCTTTATACTATCGCATCATATTAAATTCGCTTCCTTTGGTCGCTTAAATAATTTTATTAAATTCCATCACGCGAAAATTCCATTACTGCACTCAGTTACTGTATATCCTCCTTCGGAAGTGAACATTGATCTTTCGACATCCATGCTTCTACTATTCCTTTTATTATTGGATTTAGCAATCCTGATCCGTACTAAATCATTCATAGACACTTGCATACAATACCAGAACCAGAGTGAATCTGTCGTAGAAAGATTTTTAAATATTCTTGTCAATAAATCCATCGATAGTCGAAGCTAAAAAAATTTCTTCTTGATTCCTATCATCCGATTGCTATTTTCCTCTTCCGTTAAGCACCATACGCGACGACGACGATTGGTAAATTTCCCGCGAGTTTTCGACTAGTTGCAAAGATCGTCCATCGAACTTAAAGTAATCCCGAGAGCCGGACGGAAATATGTTACAACCGGTGCATCATCGATTATTTACCATCGAAGAAATGGAGTAAGTTGTTCGGTCGATTGGCAGTGTCGCATGGGACCTTATGACCGGAACTGCAAAGACACGAAGGAGTTAATGATACTACGTTTGCGTGCGATGTGTTCAGTTGCGTGAACCAGTAGGTCGTTCCTAGTCACAAAGTCGTTCAAGTCGGACGATATTTCATTCGAAACAACTGTTTCTCGTGACTAAACCGATAACATGAATTTTTTCAGGACACCCTAATACTTTTTTCCTTGACAGGTTTTAGCTGAGCGTTGCGAACAATAAAACAATAATCGTGTTAATTAGAAACAACAATGAAAGTGGTGTGCTTTTCAAGTTACAACAAAAAGGCCACTTGACATAGTCTAGGTCTGATTTTTAAACGATACGGGAAAGTTAGAACTTCGTTTCTGTGTTTACTTTACGTTCAAATTAGTTTTTGCAATACTGCTTGATAAAATCAATTTTTTCGTGAAACGTAAATTATGCGTCGTCGCTTGTATCGTACAATAGGACACGAATCGAATTACTTTTAATCCAGTAATGTACCGTACACAAGATACGTCGTCGTTTACAAACGCGTTAACCGACAATTGGATCGTCAAAGGGTAGAACTTGAACAGCAGGAATCGATGTAACGTCCCTTTGAAATGCGATCTGGGGAATCATCCGTCGGTTATCGTCGCTGTCCTAGCGCGCGTTAATTGAACGACGGTGATGCGATCGTTGGTACACGAGGCGTAAAGTCCCAGGTGGTATTGTCGCTATCGACGACACGTTAGGCACGCGCTTGGCGTGACCAATGTAGTTGTGAGTGCGACTGGTAGATAGCCAAGATTTAATTAAAACATGCTCGACGCCGTCTAGCATGGCAAACAATCGTGAAATCGTTTTCCGTCAGGCAGTAGGCTAAAAAAACAATAGCCTCCGCTCAGTTGCCGAGTAAACCATCTGTCACCCCTTGTGCTTCTGTTTCCGTTCTGCATGCGTCAATATCCTGCTCCTATTGACACGCTTTACAATTTCTGTAACTCCCGTTTAGAAGCGACGACGAACCTTGTGTATCCTATGGTATTCGGACCGAATGATGCACCGTGTATCTCTTGTAAAAAGCTTATATTACCAGTCAAATATTTGAAAAGTCAGAAATTCAACAAATTGGAATATTTAGAATTCTGTGAATCAGATTATAACGAGATGATAGCTTTAAATGGATTGAGCCGATTTCGACTAGTACATTGAATTTTACCACCTGGTGGCGGAATAAATTAGGATATATCTCTGTGTGTAGAAACCTCGTGGTTAATCGCACAGAAACCATTCTGGATACAATAACGACCGGCGAAGGCGTCCGGAACAATTTACCCGGCATGTTAAACCTACCGGTTGTTTGCTCATGCTGTTCTTGCGACGATCGATGTGCACTAAACCTCGAATATCTTAACCGTCTTTAATTGTTACGATTGTAGTAGGCGGTTTTTAGTTCACCTAAATGGCAACTCGCATTTGTCGATTTCGGTTTTTATAAATCTACGCTACTGCTCACTGTACTTATTGTAAATATATTCGACGCTAAATGTATTATTGATTAATGTAACAATTCATCTCGAAATTAATAACGGGCAAGAAGTGTTCATTACCTAAGCCATCAACAATGTGCAAATGAACAACGAGATGAAATATATATCGCAAAATTACGTCATATAAGTAAACCAATATCGTGAATGGAGACGGGCTGATAAATAGTTTTCTTTATCACCAATGGCCGACGCGTCGAAGAACTAAATCAACTACTCGGAGTTCTTGCTTTTCACGAACACAGGTAGAGAAAGTTGTGTGCGTTGAGAAAGCAATAACGTTGTCGTAATCTCAACGTATCAGTACTGTACTTTTCATCCATGACGATTGTTCAAAGTTCTTCGGATACTTTCAGCCTCCTTCCATCCTCGGCGGAATTAAAGTGTCCTCGGGGATTGGAGTATCGCAAGCCCGTTATCTAGCTGGAAATAAATGATTCTTTAGTTCTTCGAGTAATTTTCACTCGGCCGTTTAGATTGCAGGGGAAGTTTCTATTAACATAAAATCCGTTCAATTAGGAGAACAGGTAGTACAAGTATCGCGTGTCAGCTAATAACAACTTTCATACTCCTGCTGACTGATTAAAGCGTTCGATCAATTAGCAAATATACTCCTACCAATTAATCAAATACCTTCCACTACTTGGATAATTAAAATGAATCGATGCTAGACAGATAAATATCTTTACATACTACCATAAGTAATGGTAACTTTATGCCCTTGTTTGTATAAATTCTTCTGCCAAATGAATAGCTGTGTCGCCTACGCATATTATTCCTTCCTTTATCCTAAAACTCTCGGGAGTTCTTCCGCAAACTGGCATTTATTCATCATACTCCCCCAATTATTCTACTAGGAATTAGTGGGATATAGGGGATAGAAGCAGTTAGAAATCAAAACAGAATTTCTTGCGGTATCTTGTAGCCAACTTTGCTGGTATGACCTAATTTCCTACTCCTTTTATAAGGTCTCATGAGATCTTGGTCCCCTATATATCTTATTTCCTACCCAATTAACGTGGATTTGACTCGGATGTATATTTTCAGCAGGGTAGTAAACGTGATTTATTGACGTAGAAGGAAAGAATACTACCATAGACGATCCACGTACAATTCTGGGTACGATAGGCTTCCCTAGAAAGAATCACGTTGCAGGGATAACAGGCCCCATTACTCGTACAGTAACAATAACGGAAGCCTAGAGAGAACCTTAGAGGAAGCTGGAGAAAGACTACTAAAAAAGTCTATGTATACTTTTAACGAGTATAATTATTCTCTTCCTGGGACCAGTTATATAATTCTCCCGTCTCGAACGAAGCTCCAAATGGAAAATAACTGACGCTTGTTTTCCATCCCTGAAACAACCGGTTCTGCGATTACCTAATTGCAGATGAAAAGTTGCATTCGCATTGCGTCGTTCCAAACGCCGCGTTGAAGCGGCATACCTAATCAGAGGAAAGCTAATGTCCCTCTGGGGAGGGTAGCAGCGTGACGGGGTGTCTCGTCGATCAATTCCGAATATAACGGTGTACGCGTTTGTTGTCGTGCAGAAACTCCGTAACAAGGTCCTTTGACGACAATTCGGAAATTCAATCGACAGCACCATACCAGTAGCCGTAAACGCGTTAGAGTTCCCATATGAAAAGGCGTCACGCGAGGAATGTCCAGCGTCACGCTATCGCGTTAATTTCTCGGCGAGGGAAACGATGAAAGAAGGAAAGCTTCTTAACCGGTCATTATAATTACCTGCTTCAAGGAGTTTTAAGAAAAGCAGATCGTAGTCGAATTGTTTTATTAATTTCAATAATGCCTTATTCGATATACAAAGGTATCAAGCAGCGTTAATCGCTCGATTAAGTACTTTATCGTTCAACGATCTTTGATGCAACATGTAAATCCAGTAAGCGAAAATTCATGGAAATTTCATGAATGAATTGATTAGAATTGTAAATGAATTCTATTAACTTCTTTTTCGTGTTTCTTGAGATAAAGGATTTTGACTACTTTGCTTAATGCACATAACGCCATTCCGATTTTATCTGCTTGTAATTGTAAGATAGAAAAATTAATGATACCTATAACTAATGATACTTGAAAATTACCTGTCCACCTTTCTCGTGTTTGTTTCAGACAGTATCAGTGACCGTGAGCATATTGACTCTAACTTTCATATCGATAGACCGATGGTACGCGATATGTTTCCCTTTGAGGTTCAAATCTACGACTGGACGAGCGAAAACAGCGATTATTGGAATCTGGGTGATAGCCCTGCTATTTGGTAGCTAATTAGTTCATTTCTACGCAGTTTATATATAATCAACACGCAATATCTCCATCGAGATTCGTTGTTTGTGCAGATATTCCAGATTTGATAGCGTTACACACCTTTCCACCGACGCATATCAGAGTAAAAACTATCCTGTTCACTCAATGCGCCACATCTTGGAGTCAAAGAAGTCAAATCACCTTCACCATCGTTAAGCTTATCTTTCTGTACACTGGACCCTTAATCTTCATGAGCGTGGCGTACTGGCAGATCGTTAGAGTCCTCTGGAGAAGCGACATTCCAGGACACAATTGTAAGCGAGCGATCATTCTTGAGCTCTTAATGCAGAAATTTTCCAAACGCGAGTCGCATCTGGTGCCCGTAATCAACTGGCGAATCCACCAGTGGTCGCAATTCATACGAGTTTGGGAAGTTCAGCTCGAACGGACCATTACGAGTCTTTTTCCAGCGAGCTTTTTCAACTGCCAACATCTTTTCTTGTCGGTGTCGTTAGTATTCAACGTTCAGAGCCGTAGCTATCGTGTTTAACGCGACATTTAACCTTACTTCACCGAGAACGCCTAAAGATACGTTCACGCCAACGCGAAACAGTGTCTAATTTATAATGCCTACTGATCTTAGCCAGATCGTGGAACGAATAATTACTGAACATATTTGCAGTACTGCCACGGGCATCCCAGATGAGCCGGACTCCTTCGTCCGGGGGCGGAAATCCTGAGATACAGCTAAGATCCAGAAGGAAAGCAGCGAAAATGTTAGTTACGGTGGTCATCACTTTTGCCATCTGCTATTTCCCCGTGCATTTACTCTCTATCTTAAGGTATATTTCATCCATGTTGCGCCGATTTAACCACTTTATTGTATCACAATAAAAATAAGGTAGAAAAAGCTCGCAATACTATCGCGATACTTTAATGTAACACAAAGTATCATATGTATAGCTCGTAAAGACAAAACTATTGCTGAGTTAATAAATCGATATACGTGCTGTTTACCGTTTCAGATATACCATTATGTTGCCCTCGGACAAGTGGATGAACAATATCTGTTTGGTCGCGCACGGCCTCTGTTACTTCAATAGCGCGGTTAATCCTCTGATCTACAACTTCATGAGCGGTAAACGATCTCTGCTTCTGTAATTTTTATTCAACACACTAGATGATATTTTGCACTTGTCGTGATCAGGATTACGTTCGACGAAACGTTTTCGTACCCAAACGAGCTCAGCCCGGAAACCAGATGATCCGGAGCAAAAAAGATTTTTTGTTTTGAAGCTTGCAAATAACAGTCCTGTTGAATAGTTTTCTATAGGTTCAAGTCGCGATTGAACACTTGTATTAAAACGTTCGTGCAAAAGTAATCGATAGCCGTGGTGATCTGGCATCTGCAACGTAATCGGATTTGTTGAACAGATCGATAGTCGTTTCTTATATAAATGAAATCATGGAAAGATCGATATGTCTTTTATACGATAACGGTCACGCGTATTCCCTAATTTGATATGACTAATGGAATACTGATGGGCAAAAAGGTTGTTGGCTCGCGTATGTATATGTATATGTATCAGCAAGCATCGATGGTTTCTCTTCATGTTGGACAGAGGAAAGAAAGGCTAGCACTATTCATGTCTCTCCTCTGCGCTCGTTCTTCCTTATTTTTATAATGAATTTGTACGACAAAATTTGTGTACAAAAGTTAAGAGCACTTGTGAAAATTATTTCTTTAACGTTTTGTTTAATCTCCGTAGCAAATAGAATAGAAAATGAGACACACGAGTGAATCAGACGAATGATACAAGACTGCATTTCTCTGCACTTTTTCATGCAGTAAGAGAAACCATTGCTATTTTCCGATGTACCTTTTCATTCGCCTACATTTCAAATTACTCGTCCTACTGTAGATAGTATTTCAAACTTCCGACCGTATCGTATGCGTGCGAACCTCCTTTTTTCTCTGGTGTATACTAACTTATTGCAATCTATAAATAAATGAAATATTAAAGTCGGATTGTAAAGGTAGTGACTCACATATTCTTTCGTATGCATTTGAAAAGTTTGAGAAAATTAATATATAAAATAAAAAAGTATTTATATTGTAGAAACAAATGCGTGAGTCACAAAAGGAGTATATTCATAAATATGGTGTTCCCCTTAAATAGCATGTGCAAGATACAAAAACACGAACGGCCTTGAAATAACCTTGACATGGTCATCCATTAACCTATTTCTTTATTGCTCAGAAACGTAGTTCTAGCAATTTAACTTGAAATGCATCACCTTGCGCGCTCGATACAATCTTGCCACTTTAAATAACCCTGTTGACTATATTTCGTTGATTCATTGAGAAACTCAAAACTTATCAGAAAGCTTTCCTCGCATTTGTATTTAAGACACGTCTCGTTGACCATTTCTGCTACCTTTATCTGAAATGTCTCGTAATTAAATGAAACTGCATTCCGCTATCCCAACGACAACGATCTCGTTATTTTCAAAACTTTTTAAACTAAGAAACGTCCAGGTACGATTCTTTGACGTGATTCGATTGTAAATTTCGTATTTATTCGAAATCTATGCTGATTTTATCGATATTGATAGAAAGAAAAGGAATACAAATGTTAAACCGAATTGAATTTAGATGCCTTTTGTAATGTTGTCAAAGACCGAGAACGAGTTTTATCGTTAACCGGATGCTATCGATCTAAAGCAGGTATTGTTTTCGTTTGAAAAATATTAAGAAGTAAAAGAGCAAGCTCAAAAAGGTAATAGAAATGAAAATGGTAGAAAAAGGAGATATTGAGCATCTGGTTTACAGGTAAGTTCCGGCAGGAGTTTCGTCGTACGTTCCAAGAATGCGCACCTTCGAACCACTCAAACGGTCACAGGCCGAACCAACAACTCAGCTACGCTTACATGGCAAGTGGATACCGGTCTGCTCTGCAAAGTCGTCGTGAACAATTCTGACACGCGGAGATGCGAGTCTCGTGGGTGAAAAAAGCCCCTAATACAGTCGCGGAAGGACCTCAGGCCGGAAACGAATCTCCACAGGATCAATGTAGTCTTGGATTAAACCCGCTACAAAATTGATTAAGCTTAGGGTGAGCTATATTATACTTCACGGTTATTGGCCATTCAAAAACCGTAATCGTACCAACGTCTATCGTATTTTCACGCATCACTTATCGTTTTCACCCTACGTGCATGCATTTGGTATCGAAATGCTTTGTTTCAAGTAATCGATCAAATTATCGATCAATAAAGTTATCCATCGAGTATGCACCGTTAAACGTAATTTCCATTTTAACTTTTCGAAGAATGCTGAACGTTTGAAACGTTTGAAATTAAAATAGACCAGTTAAGAATTGATTACCTCGTGTAATTAAATAAGGTCGATAACGAAATATTATATAGCTCACCCTTTTCATTAAATTTGTGTGGGAAATTGAGGTCGTGTGACAGTAGCGCCAATATTATCATGTACTTTAAATGAATTTCACGACGGTTTATCGCTTCACTTATAATTAGATCAGAGTTATAAATGTTTAGTGACGTGTAAACCATACTATTTTCTAATTCTATTATGTCGTTGTAAACTAATTTAAGAATTAATTTGACTAAACGTTTTATTGCAGGGAAATTTCGAAAGGAATTTAGACGTACTTTCCGTTGCGCTCAAGAAAGTAGTTCGCGCATTCAACGTGGATATCTAGCGAGTACATCTAATCTAGCTAGGATAAAATCCCGAACCACCACGATACGAACAACGTTCAAAAATAATAATAACGTTCAACGAACTACCGAAATTGTACCTCTTAGTGCTATAACTAGTGTTCAACAAAATGAGAAACACGACTGATCGTAAGTATATGTATTTCGGGGATTATACGTATACTTCGTCACTATATCGTGAGATTGTAAATTAGCCCATTAATGCGGCAATCATTGTGTATATTGTTATCCTGCGCGAATGGGCTAAACCTTAAGAGTTTCTTTCTCATCCACTGTATAGAAAAGTAATGGAATACTATACCCATAAAAATCAAGAAGTTTTGAAACGGTGTTTCGGCACCTGAATGTTGTGCAATTTAGTATTTGAGGAGTTTTACAACCTCGCTATATCGTGACAAAGATTATCCCATTAGAAATGAAGTAAAGTTCAAAAGTAATTTATTTAAATATAATTTCACCTTTAACAGTAACATATTTGATACCACGTAGATACAAAGAAAACGTTATGTTTTACTTGTTAAAGTTCAAGTAACAGAAAAAAATATGAAAAAATAGACATGTGAAATTTGTTTGAAAAATGATACTTTTTAATGTAACGAAATATTTCATTATTCGAAATGTATTTATACTAAACTCGATGTTCGTTCACGCAGAACGGAAACATAGGCACACGCGAATTTGCGAATCATTCTTCGTAATTGAATGATCTCACTCTATAATTAATATTTATACTTATAATCCTGAAAAGACGACGTGTGCTGACAGAATTGTATGTAAAAAATTTCCTCCTAACTTCTCTCCCAATTCTATGTTATAAATATAATGCAGTATGAATCTTGTATTCTGTACACTGTTTCTAGTACTCCGTGTAATTTTAAGAAAAATTATCTTTACTTCGCTAAAATTACAATTTAATTATCCCAATAATCAATTCCATGCGTATGCAATTTCGTAATGAAACATTTTATACGAATTTAATCTCAACAACAGTCTGTATGCTTGAAAGCTTTCGTGAAATTTTACAAAATCGAACAGAGGAAAATAAATTTAATCGCCAATGAATTATCAATATATTATCTTTCTTTTCCACCTTGCCAATAACAACGCATATCACTGCAAGCGTATTAAAAAAATTGATCATGGTTGCATCTGCTCGCAAGTTTTACAAAAACGTGATTAAAAGTAATCAATGACAAGATTAATAGTTAGTATTACTTTTACCTTATCTAAACTTTACGATGTACTAAATTATGTAACGATATAAGCAGATAAAAAATTTTTTTACTATCATAATGTAAGTAAAATTAAAGCGTTAAGTAGTGTTTTTTATTTACCTAATAAACATACTTCGTTCATTTACCATTTGTTCAACCCTTCGGCGCAAATGTTAATTCTTTAAGAAAAGATAAACAACAATCGTTTCTTTTGCAGAATATGTATTTGTTTGAACAGTATAACCATACAGCGTGTACAGAAAAAACGTTTAAAAACTTTTAAAAAACTAAACTATTTAAGTAACTATATTTACTATATATATATATTTTTTTTTAATATTTATTTAAATATTAAATAAACTTTTATGTGCATGACACATAAAAATTACGATGATTCTCGAATTTGAGTGAAAGCAAAAATACATTTCTGGAATCACGTTAAAAAAAATACGCGCCAAATGGTTAATGAGTAGCAGTATAGAAGCATGTTTGTACATAAAAGACATAATACATACTGAGGTTACTGACTCGACTATGATCTATTTACAATAGCCATTGTATTAAAACGATATCGATTTATTAACCAGTCAATGCTGCATGCGTTAATAGTCGATATACGAGAATACATTTAACACTAGTTCTGCCTACTAATAATTATTTATTAGTAGATTTTATATATGAAAGTAATTTAACAATATAGAAGGATGTAATTTAATAATAGCAGCAGATCGATGAGTTCGTAGTGAAACATTGATACAAATGTGAACTACGAAATGTACAATATGCTGGAGTTAGATAAAATCGTTTGAAATATGTATTAGATACGCACACATCCAATTCCTACGGTATTTCACCAGCAAGCTGTGAATACCAATTTACTATACAAACTGCGTAATAACTCCAATAAAATTACACAGTATTTTTATAATATATGTATACTCATAGTCAGAACATTCACAATTACGTCTTTCATAAAAAAATGTTAAAGATCGTGTAATATTTTTTCAAGCTGCTGCTTCTTCGAGAACTGTACTTCCCAACGTAGCGCTTTCGATTTTACTCGAATCGTTTTCAGTCTCTTCCGCGACTGCTTGCGCAGACATAAGCGGAATAATATTCTGATCATTTACAGTAACTTTTAATGAATCGTTATCACTTGTCCCGTCTACTTGGTCAGTTATAACACCTTCAGAGTCCACTGGTATATCTATATCAACATTTTCAATATCTTTTTCTTTGCTTTCAACCATAGTATCCGTTACTTCACTTAAATCATCATTTTTCTGTATTTCTTCGGAATCTATAATTTGCTCTGATTGGACGTTATCAAATTGTTCTGACACGGGTTTCTGATCACCTTCCACCAAGTTAGTCTTAACTTCCTGATCAGTCTGTTGCATATTACCCACTTGATTATTCTGTGCCTGTTGCGTGCTCCTGCCCCTTCCTCTACCGGTTTGATGATGTTGATTTTCCGGCGGAGGAAGAATTGGAATAGCTGCCTTTGGTCGTCTAATCGGAGCAGATTGTTGCTGCTGTTGTTGTTGCTGTGCTGGGCTATAGTAAGTGCAACCTTGTGGCTGAAATAGTTCTTGTGGTGGCGGTGGACGCTGTGGCTAAAAAATTTGAAATAGGTATAATAAAGAAGCAATGTAACTTTTGAATCTTATTCAAGAAAATATACCTGTACTGGAGGACTATATCCTTGATAACCTTGGAAATTTGGTGGAAATGCTGGTCCATTTGGACCCGGAACATAATTAATTATACTAGGTGGAGCAGTCTGCGGAGGAATAAATTGTGGTGGCGGTACCAAAAAAGGTGGTGGAGCGTAACTTGCAGGTTGACCATTCGGCGGTAAAGGAATAACAGGTTGACCAGCCATTGGTGCAGCTGCGCCAGGAACAGGCGTAGATTGTTCAAAATGACCCTGTGGATATCCTACAAAAGCGAAATACATGATATTATTTGAAAAATTATAACAATTGTATTTGTGCACACAAATGCATGCTGTGCATAAACCATTTACACGTGAAAATAACAAAAAAGAAGGAAATGGTGTAAGTGCAAATGTTTGTATGTTAAATTAATACCTCCTTAAGGTATCAAAAAAGTGAACGAAATTCTTCACACCATCAAATAAACGACTTTATCTTACCTTGTGATTCTAAAACACCTCTTGAATTTCCAGCTAGGTACATATACATACAAGTTAAACATTAATATATGTATAACATATTCATATTGTTCACCCACAAATACGTCTTACGAATTGTGTATACATTATATATGTATATATCGAGTAAATTTGAAATTGTATCAATTTTATTACCTTGAGGAGGGAAATATCCATGTTGATTATGTTGATTGTGTTGATTATGCTGACTATGTTGATTATGCTGATTATGCTGTCCATGTTGTCCGTGTTGTGATGGATAATTTTGTTGTCCCGGATTTTCGGAAGCGGTAGGACGTTGTCGTAAGCTAGAATAACGTTTGGGTCTATTAGCGGAACCGTCTTGCTGTTGCTGAGTTGATTGTTGTTGCGACGATTGTTGTTGTTGTGGTTGTTGCTGTGAATGAGACTGCTGTTGCATTCTTGGAGGTACTGCTCCTGATCTCTGTTGATTGGAAGACTGTCCATAAAAGTTTTCTGAAAAATATCAACAATTAATATACTAATATATATTCAATATGTTTGTAAACAAGAAATACTTACTATTGTGTCTCCCACCTTGATGATATTGCGTACCATCATGAAGGTTAAGGTGTTTCATGTCATGGGAAACTTGTTGTTCATCATCATTTTGAATAGCATTGTTTCTCTTATTCTCGGCAGAAATCGGACCTGCTCCACGTCCTTTTGGTTTTGTCTCAACTGTTCTATTAGTGACCATATTGTTATTAGCATTTGTTCTGAATCCTCGTCCGCGAGTTCTACTCGCCGCCAAGCTTACAGACTCTTGAACGTTCCTCTTGTTGTTATCTCTGGGTGATATTTTTGTACTGACTAACTTATCCGCGTCACCGCCTGCTCCACTGTTTCCATTACTACTTTGACTGTAAGAAGAATTCTTGGTATCCTTTTTCCAAGCTGGATTGGTCGGTTCATTAGGAGCTTTATTTTCATTTCTGTAAATCACAATATTGAAATAAACTCGTCCGCTCTGGTTACATAGAAAATACGATACTAAAAACAATATTACGTACGTGTGAGTATTAGATGTATTGCTAGACTTTGTTTTTGGGCTATCATTCTGAGCTTGTAGAGGTGGAAAATTTTGTACTTTAGTTTGTGATTTATTTTTACTACTGTACCAAGCCGACGAAATCACTGGTTCATCTACAGGCACAGGAGCATTTTTGGTAGTTCCCAGAGCAGGGAAATCTTCACCGCTTCTATTGAATTTTTTATTTTTATTAGAGACATTAGTTCCAGCTTTTCCATATGCATCTTCATCTTCCCAATTACGAGTATACTTATTTGGACCACGGCTGTAAAAGATAAAATATGTCAAGCAAAATATTATACAGTTTATAACACTTTTTAAAAATTAACTTACCCATATCTTCTTCTTCTTCTAGCTCTAGGTGGACCTTCTTCATTTCTTATGTCATAACCATAAACTGCTATTAATTCTTCATGACTCTTTGGTGCTTGTTCCTCGTCATTGTATCGATCATGATCCCACCTATCCTCTTTATCTTTCCATACTTTTTTTTCTTTGGTTTCTCTTTCAGTTTGTGGCTCTGCAGTATTATCTGTTACTTCATCTGTAGTTCTATCATCGTGTTCATAAAATGTTCCTCTTTTAGGAATATATTGTGGATTACGTCTGTCTTCATCATCATCTAATTTTTTTTGTGGTTTTTCTTCTTCTTGTCCATCTCCACTTTCTCGTAATGCACCATCTTGAGATTCGGCATCAGAATCAGATGGATAAATGTCACATTCTGAATCTTGATGACCATCAGTTTGTTCGCTGCTCTATAAGGCAATATTTAAAAAGATATAAAATATAAAATATTTTTCTCAAAATTATAACCAAATAATAACATATCATTTTTTCCTATGTAATTTAATAATAAAAAATTAAATTTCGTAAATTTCATTTGCCGGTAAATCTAATACGAAGGAGAATTTGCTTAGTTACAATAATAGTCAGAAGTATTACAACAGTCTACTTAATCCACTTAATCGGGTCTTCCACTGAACTTTCGCTCCAGTTCAATGCGATACAAAAAATTTAATAAATAACAGGAACTTAAAAAACCACGAAATAAAAAATAAACAAAATTATTTATTTCAAAATCTTTAAATTCTTTAATCGAAAACACTTTTACCATAACTAACCTGGGTTTCTTTCGTTGCATTTAACTCTTCGCCAGAGTCCGAGAGGTCATCGGAACCACAGGACTGATTAGATTTTCGACGTCGTCTTGTGTCCGACATGCTTTTCTAGTTAAAAGTACCAGTTCGAGAATTATCACAGATTTTATTCCGTAAAATGTGAACATAAACGATCAATGCCAGATGACTTTTAAGGTCGAACTAGTTGGTGACTGTTTCTACTTCAACGGGTTCCCGATCACGATTCTCGGTCACAAATCACTGACTAGACGTACTACTATCGAGAAGGCACACCAGACTCACAAAATTTTTAGCGGTAGAAACGATTTCATCGGATTACTGTCAGATTACTTGGTAGCAATGGCGGTTCTATAAACTTTCGAACAGCAAGTCCCTTCTCTTTGAACGTATTCGACTAACGTTAGTTTACATTACGAGCATTTTATACATAAATATATACGAATTACATCGCTCCCTTACGAATTAATTAACCTATTTAAGAAAGAGTTACTCGTTACGTTCAAATAAAATTCATAAATATAAAATAGTTGCCGCGAGAATTCGAATTTTTACGTATTGTCGACGCCACCTGTAAACTTTTTGATCAGTTACTTATTTGTGCTACATATATTCCATTCAACGAGAGATCATATTCTTCATAAAAGCTTTCATTCGTTTTGCGTATGTTAGCTCTGATTGGTTCGAGCACGCATCGCATCATCATTTATATTCTCAAATTTCTAATTTTCAAGTGTAATCATGATCTATCTATAGTTCTTCACGCTGTTCATATATTTTGTCTACTTTGTACATATATAATCGGAGAAGTGCAAAATGTTTGAAGTGCAACTTCAGAATTTACTGAAGTTGCCTACATTGCACGAATTAGGGCGAACTGAATATAATCTTGATCTCCCGTTGAACGAATGATACGTTCATACGTGGGTTACTATATTATATGTGGGTTGCGCTCACTAGTCTACACCTCGTCTTTTCATCAGGGCTGTATGATTGTTTTCAAAGACCTCAAGTTACTTCATTATCAAACGAAATTTTTTCGTTTTATATAGGTTTATCGAAACAAATTAAACGTGGATTGCGAGAACAGATTTTAAGAAAATATTACATGTATTTACTTTGAAACACGTATTTACTATTAAAATTTGTTTCTGAAATTCAATAAAGCTGAATAACATTGCGTACAAAAACGAACACGTATACGTTTCACGTGGTATAAAATTATTGGTATTTGGACGCAATTGGGGTTAATAACGAATTGAAAATTTCATACATACAGTGTCAACGGTGTCAACTTCGGAAAGAAGAAAATATAAATCACTTAAAAATTAAATACGCACGGCATATTATTTCCGACCGATACATTGGAACAATTACGATAGTAACATAAACAGCAAATAAGTTAACGCACATATATCGCTGTCGTCATTAATCTGTAGATATCGAATACACATATATATTTGATTAAAAATATGGTGAAATAATTGTAGTTTTATAAAAATGTGGAAATACCGTGGTATTTATAATGTGTTTTGTATTGTAATTGTTGTTGTATGTGGACATGATTTTAAAAGTTTTGATGATACTGTTCTCTTTAAAATTAATTGGTCAGGCAAAGCTGGTTCAGAACTATTAGTGAGTAAATGCAGATAAAACTATTTTATCATATTCATTCGAATAAAATGTTTGAATAAATTCATGTATAATTTACAGGAATCTAGAACAAATGTAGAACCATATTTTATAACAACTGCAAATAATGAGCGGTATCAATGTTTGATAGTTGATAACTCCAAACAAGAAAAAAATGATAACGAACCATATAATGGACCTAATCCCATAGAAATTTTATCACCACTATTTAATCAAGATATTTGTTCTTATAGGGTAAACATCATAACCATTATTAACATATTTTATTAAAACTTATTTATTCACAAAATCCATTTATATTTTTGTAGCTTGAATCTTACTGGTCATATGAATTATGCCATGGACGATATGTACGTCAATATCACGAGGACAGAGATGGAAAGAAAGTGAAAACGCAGGAATATTATTTGGGTACTTTTGATAAATTGCAAGAATTAAAGCTTTTGGCTGAATACTCGGAACGAGAAAGAAGTCCTACTAGAAAAGCAGAGATTCCTGTTAAAAAAGTTGATGGAATTAATATGCCTTATGTTGAAATTGAAATGGGTGATGGCACAGTTTGTGACTTAACAAACAAACCACGAAAAGTAAAAGTTTTATATGTCTGTTATCAGCTTGGTAAACACGAATTATTTTCACTCGAAGAACCTTCTAGCTGTGAATATGAAGTTATTGTCCTTTCTCCTGGGTTATGTAGACATCCTGACTATAAACCACAGGCTACAGGAGAAAATGAAATTAATTGTCAACCAGTTGGTAATTCACCAAAAAAGCCAAGATCTCTTGTTGCAATGGAAATAGAAAGTTCTAAACTTCGACATCAGAAAGTAACGGTAAAACCATCTTCCATTCATTCTTTGCATCCGATAATTTATTTATGATTATGCCTGTGTTATATGTACATAATTTTATTATTTATAATAAAACATATTTTCTTACATATTTCTGTGTATGGTAGTAATAATTTTTATTATTGGTATACATAAAACACGCGTAAGTTGTTTTTAAGTAAACATAGATCCTAGATATATTCAAATATTGTATAATGCTCCGTGTCAACATAAAATACTATATGCTGTATAGAGGTAGAAAATGCATGAATGAGTGACATATTTTTTTTAAGCTAATTATTTTAATTTCACTACATTTTGAATATTGAAAATAATCACTTCTGATTTATTTTTGATTATTTATCGTTTATACATTGAATTAATTATCTGTTGCACAGGATGACAAGCTGCAGAAAGTCTATGCGATCTTCCATGTAGATAAGGAGGGCCAGGTCAGAATATTTTGTTTTTTTGGGAACAGGCCAAAGTGCTTGATGGTTCTTGTCATTTGTTGCCATTGATTTGTATCTCATTCTGTCCCTTCCTTTTCTACATATAGTTACCTCAATAATATAATAACACCAATAATGTTTATGCACTATTATGTCTTTAGTACTATAATATCCTCTGCTTTACTTTATTACAGACAAAGTTACTAGTATTTCTAGTAGGTTATCATTTTCGCTTTTCACGCAGCATTTGATTAAGAGCAGCTAGCAATAGTTAAAATTCCATCAATAATTATACACTGCAATATACTAAACAATATATATATTTTCAGAATAAATACAATGTATCTTAATATTAAAAAAAACTGTACAGTCATAATTCAATGGTAAAATCTCTTTTTTTGCTAGTATTTTGAAAGAAGAGATGATATATGTTCATGTTTCTAACAATTTCATATGATATTAACATCGGAAGTAAAGGTTGCAAGATGAGCTATATATTGTAGTTAAAAAATTAAATGATTTACGCTCATTTCAGGATGGCGAAGCACGAGTTAGAGTTGAAATACATCCTGTCGATGTTATCGATAAACATAATAATATTGAAGATTCTATAAATTCATTAGCAGATCAAAACATTAGTCCAATCGAAGCGAGTCCTGTAAAAAATTTTTTAAGCGGCAAAAATTGTTTATACGGTGTAAGTATTTTTTCTCTTTTATTTTATAATTATATTTTCTGAGACTACAAGTAGTTAATATAACTACAGCGCAATGGATGGTGGAAATATGAATTCTGCTATGGACGTTTCGTAGTTCAATATCATATAGAACGCGATGGTACAAAAACAATAGTGAATCTCGGTAAATTCGATAAGCAGAAACATTTAGAATGGATCGCTGCTCATCCGCATAAAAAGTCAAAGTCTCCGGTACTACGGAAAGAACTTATTCATTTTTATAGCGATGGTACCATTTGTGATAAGACTGGCAAGTCAAGGCAAACAGAGGTACTATACATGTAATAATAATCGAGAATATTATTTGAGTAATTAACAAATGTTTGATTTTTAGGTAAAGTTAAAATGCGTGGAGGGTACATCGAGCATTTCTCTATTTCTGCTTGAACCAAAAACATGCGAATACGTTCTGGGAGTTGAATCGCCATTGATCTGTGATATTTTAGAATACGCAGATGAGAATGGACTTCTTAGTGAGAAGTTTGAAGCAAATTTTGACAAATTGAAAACTACCGCTTTTCACGAGTACGATGATTTGGACGAAAGGATAGCAAACGGAGATGATTAAAGTAATTTAATTAACGATTACGAATGTTGTCCAGTGAGATAAATTTGATAATAAAGGCGACAGTATTAGAGTGCTGGACACTTGCATTTAATTTCAACCGATTAGATCAAACTTTATTTTTTCGAGTTTAATGTACATCAATACACGAGTGCTATATTTCAGAGTTTTCATGTACCGTACGATACAGCGGTGTTCCGCTATATGGCTGTGATTGGAACTATACAAGCAAAAAGTATCGTGGAATGAGCCACTTAAAAGAAACCTGTTCGAACTTTAAATTTCAATCTTCCGAAGTTCGCAAATTCCTAACCATATAGCGATATTCCACTGTACTTGTATAACCATAGCAGCTGCTCAAATCTATCGTACTCTTTACGTATCAACACGAATCATCGTGCAATGGAGGTTGTAACGTATGTAAGGTTTTTCACTCTGTAAGCTTTTGAAAAGAACAATTAAAATCGTTTTGACGTTAATCACTTTTACCATCGAATTCACTTCTATCATTTCTATAAATAATATCACATTTCAAACATGACGATTGTTGCATTTGTTTAGTTCAAATCTGTCATTGTTCATAATCATTACCCGATGTTGAGACCAACGCCTACGCGAAATTGTTGCTTCTTATGATTTAAAAGTCCGCTAATAAGCAGAGAAGATTCTGGAATAGGATATAATTTCTTCTCGAATACGCCTCCGACCGTGGTTTCTGAATTCACGATGCCACGGAAAATAAGGTCCGCGTACGGGACGTTTACTTGATAGACTATAGTACCGATCGACTGATGAGTTCTGACGTTCGTCTCTATTTCAACACCGAGTTCCAATTGCGAACTGGCTTTACGATGATAGCAAAGATGTAGTCCTGCTTCACCTATGGTACCGGATAACGTAGCGAATCCTGTACTGTATCTAAAAGCCATACACATGACTGTTTGTTGACCGCCTGGAACTTTCATGCCACGAAGGCATGCAATTTCAGCTCCTAATGTAATTCTCGATGTGATCGCTTGTAAAAAGTGCATTACCACTGTTCCGTGTTTTTTTGCTAATTTTGGATTGGCCAGAATAACTGCAACCGTGTAATCGTTTCCTCGATATTCCAGACTGGAGCTCGAAGCTTTGTATTTTCCATCAGCAATTTGTGCTGACAGTTTGTACCTAAATCTACATCCTAACGTATGAACGAATGAGGCGGTTAAATTTCCGTTCGGTGAAATTTCTCCAATGGCAATGGGGTATTTTTCGGTTAAACCCACCATTTTTGTACCAATGTATTGTACACCAAGTTTGTAACCGGAAGGGGTAACTGAGCTGAGGGTAATAGAATGCGTCACGTTGAAGTGTTCGCTGAGTACTTTCTTGATGTTGAGGCGCGCTCCTTCAAAATTTTGTGGATAAACGTCCTTAACTTTTTTATGAATATCTTCGAAACTCCCGGGGTTCCCTGGTCCCTTGTCTTGTGGATCAACACACGGTACACAGTCCTCATCGTGGTTTATTATGTTCGGTTCGTCTGCTTTAGTCGCTGACGCGTGTGCTGTGCCCATTTTGATATATATTAACTTTCCATAAATACACGTTAATTTCGTGGCTTGTATACACGTACGAATAAAATTAGTTTTAACACGCGTATTTTATTTGACAAGTCTGCGATTTTAAACTTGTACGCCATTTCATTCGATACTTGCAGTTTTCGATATATCGATTATATTTTACGAGAGAAATGTACCACTGAATTGAGTTTTTGTTCACGCTACGCATGTCCGAACGATGCAACGCCAAGCCTATATATCCTGTGATCTTTGAATATGGCCGCGTAAATTGGCATCATACTAGCAAATGCAGATTTGTAGTTATATTTCTTTTCTGAATTGAAAAGACCTTTCACTACCAACATAAGACTGCCAATAAAATACTATAAATAACGTTCATAGTATACTTTAATGCATGGGAGAATACTAAATAAAAAATCACTGGATATATAGACAGCGTCACAAATCGCCAGTTGTTATATTAGATCGCTAGATGGCCATTAACATGAAGATTCAAATACAGTTTCTCTATTAATATTTAATAATTTCATATGAAATTAACACTATCGTGTAAGAGAATTTATTTGAAACCACACAATATAGCATGACTTTTGTATTATAAGTTTCACGAGATACGGTATACATGTGACATGATGCCTTTCTCACAAGTGCTCACAAGCCATGTCGTTCCTTTATATAGAGGAACCAAGTAAGTACTAATGGAAGTGTGTGCTAGTGATGGCACAGCTGAACATTGATCGCTAACGTAGAAATATGGCAGATCTGCTCAGTGGGTGTTGTCACGTGGTCGCTTCAAGTAGCTTGTGTTCGGCTCCCGATTGCGCGTGCAAGTTCGTGGTTCTAACCAAACCTCGGATTTGCACGCCTGCACGGTTGAGTCTTCACGTCGCTCCTCGAACTACCGCGATTTCCAAATTGGGGGGCAATCGAATAGGTCGACGAGGTTGTAATTTGTCGCTTCCATATACAGGCACTGCAGATTAGCAGTATGCCATTATTTTTTTTTATAGGTTATAAAATATCAAATTTTACAGGATTATTCTGGATCGAATAAAATAATTACAATGTGTCAGCATTGCGATACGTACATGAGCCGCCTATGTCAATTCTACTGCGCATGCAAAGTGCAATATTTCGGCACTTTGGCGACGTAGTATGGTTCCTGAGGCATTTAGAAACAAATTTCTATTAGGGTTTGATGCGTTTTGATGCCTAATAAAGCCAGAAAATCAATTTTTGTCGAATTCGGCTCAAAACGGTACAGGTGGCGCCATCTAGCGGCGAGCAGCGGAACTACGAAAAACTAAAATTTCGATTTTCTCGAAAACTAGGGACTTTTCCGAAATTCTGAGATATACAAATTCTTCCTTGTCGCCTACCGAATCGAACGAATCTAATTATAGCTGGCTAGGACCATTATTAAAGAAAATAGAAAAATAGCCCATTTCATGGACTAAAAAATTGCCGTCCATCTAGCGGTGAAAGTTGGAACTACAAAAATAGAAAATCCCGATTTTCTCGAAACCTAGGGACTTTTCCAAAATTCCGAGATATACAAATTGTTCCTTGTGGCCTAAGGAATCGAACGAATCTAATTACAGCCTGCTAGGACCATTATTAAAGAAAATAGAAAAATAGCCCATTTCATGGACTAAAAAATTGCCGTCCATCTAGCGGTGAAAGTTGGAACTACAAAAATAGAAAATCCCGATTTTCTCGAAACCTAGGGACTTTTCCAAAATTCCGAGATATACAAATTGTTCCTTGTGGCCTAAGGAATCGAACGAATCTAATTACAGCCTGCTAGGACCATTATTAAAGAAAATAGAAAAATAGCCCATTTCATGGACTAAAAAATTGCCGTCCATCTAGCGGTGAAAGTTGGAACTACAAAAATATAAAAATG